TAGCACATTTCCTAAAAACAGCATACCAGGCATCTTGAACTTGCTTGTTCCTCAGGCAGTAGATGAATGGGATCAGTAGAGGAGCTACAAGAGTATTAAGAACAGCCACTGCCTTACTATAACTCAATTCATTGATGCTCTTGGGTTTTATGTACATGAAAATGCAACTACTGTAAGTGATGGAAACCACGGTGATGTGGGAAGCACAAGTGGAAAAGGCCTTCTGCCTTCCGGTTTTTGATGGGATACACATGATGGTGGAAATAATTTTGACATAGGACACCACATTTATCGTTAAGGTCCCAAGGAGTGAAAAAATGGCAATGAGAAAACTAACAAATTCCAAAAGAGTTGTGTCAATGCAGATAAGTTTAAACAGGGGTCCATTGTCACAGAAAAAATGGTTGATGGTGTTTGGGCCACAAAAAGGCATTTGGAACAACACAATGGCTGGACCCATAATGAGCAATAACCCCCCAAACCAGGATCCAAATACTAGCAAGGAGCAGAGCCAATCACTCATAATGGTTGAATAGTGAAATGGGTTGCAGATGGCTACATATCGATCAATAGACATGACTGCCAACAGGAGGAACACAATGGTTCCCAAAACAAAGTGCAGAAAAGACTGCATGAAACACCCAGTTAACGTAATACTCTTCTGACCGGTGGCCATATTGGCAAGCGTTTTAGGAATAAGGACAGTTGTATACCCAATATCCACAAATGCAACATGCCGAAGGAAGAAATACATTGGGGTGCGGAGCTGTTGGTTCACCAGTGTGATGACAACAATCAGTATGTTTCCCATCATGGTCAAGAGGTAAATCCCCAACAGCAGGAGGAAGAGGAAGATTTCGAGTTGTGGATTGTTCGTAAAGCCCAAAAGTATGAAATTCCTCACTGCAGTGGTGTTCATCCTTTGTTCACTTCTCTAAAATTAAAAGGGGAAAAAGTGACAATGAGAATGGCATAGAACAATCTATTCCCATCTTATTTTAAAGGTAACGCTTTACATAATCTTTTATTATGATGGTTAACTGTAAGACATTCAACTTTAATTCTCTCACAAGCTTTCCTGAGATGTAAATTGCTGTGATTTTATTTTATTGTGTATCATTTTTTAAAAGTGTTAACACATTTATTGTCACTCTAGGGGAAGGTATATTTTACAGTCTTATCAGAGCAGCTGCTAAACTAAAAATGATCTTTGCATCTGGTTAAGGAAACCAGACATGGACCCATGATTGACAGACAGTGCTGAGCTGATCAGATCTTCTTCTTTTTTTTACTCCAGGATGCCTTGCTATGAGCAACTTGAGAAACTGCAAGTTGCTTCTAGTGCGAGAGAATTGGCCCAGGGAATGCCCAGATGTTTGATGTTTTACCATCCTTGTAGGAGGCTTCTCTCATGTCCCTCCATGGGGAGCTGGAGCTGACAGAGGGAGCTCAACCCACTCTCCCCAGATTTGGACTGCTGACCTCTCGGTCAGCAATCCTGCCAGCACAAAGGTTTAAGCCATTGCACCACTGGGGACTCCATTTTGAATTTATTTTGGGTCTTCCATATTCTACCATATGTTAAGGTGTACTTTCAGCCCCCAGTGGTACAACAGGTTAAACCCTTATCCCGATAGGACTGCTGACTCACAGGTCAGCAGTTCGAATCCGAGGAGAGTGGGTTGAGCTCCGTCTGACAGCTCCAGCTCTCCATGCAGGGACATGAGAGAAACCTCCCACAGGGATGGTAAAAATCAAACCTCCAGGCAATGTCCTTTAGGCAATGTCCTTGCAGATGGCCTATTCTCTCACACCGAGCTGGACTTGCAGTTTCTCAAGTCACCCCAGACATGAAGAAAAAAAGTCTACTTTACAGATCATCACATATCTGATGATCTAGTGTCCTTGAGCAAGTCACACACACTCAGCATCAGAAGACACCAAAGGCAAATCCTCTCTGAACAAATTATGGCTTTAGTGTTCCTTCAGATTCCTAAGATATTTGATTAGATTAAAGCTGTGTATTTATAAACCACTTTATTAATTAAAAAGAGCATTTAAAATTAGACTTGGATATAAACCAGATGTGGTGCTGATATTTGAACAGTGATGTAATTTTGTCACAGAGGTTTCCAAGGGCAATATGAAAGCTATTTCCTATTGTTATGCATCTTTCCTTAAACAATCTATTACCATTAAAAATATTTTCGTTTTACATAATTTTTATGGTTTGTCAGAGCACAAGATCTTAGTGATATGCTTACCTCTTACCACTTGCATAAACTAGAGGACATTCACAGGGCTCTTGCAGTATCCTTCAAGTATCCTATGCAGAGGAGAAAATGAATTTCCTAGAACTTTCAGGCTTTAACGTATTATATTAAAGACTCACCTTTGATAAAGATGACTCTTCCTTCTTTCAAAAGCAAATGGAAAAATTGCAGTAGTTGTATTTTTGATCTGGTAACATCCTAAATCCAGAAGTTCATTTGCATCATATCCACCCGAACTAGTGAGCCACAATGTAATTCTACATCATTCAAAACTTTTTTTCCTTTTTATTGTGAGCGAACATGGAGGTGTCCTCTTGTAAGCAGTTATGCAGGTAAATATTCCTAATAATATAGCATTTTACTTGTTGGCATACATAAGAGTTATTAGTTCAACTTCCCCAAGGTGTAGAAAACTGATTGAGCGCTGTGTGATACTGGCTCATGCAAATCAAATTGTCTTGTGGATATGCAAAGGGATCTTGTAGCACCTTTGAGACTAACTAGAAGAAAGAAGTTGGCAGCATGAACTTTCTTAGAGTTAAGTCAATTTTATCAAAAGCAGACTTTGTTCTATGAATGCTTTGCCACAGACTACTTTTGAGTCTAAAACGTGCTGCAAGTTTCCTTTGCCAACTGATCCAGACTTGGGTCCCTTCCACACAGCTGTATAAAATCCACATTGGACTGGATTATATGGCAGTGCGGACTCAGATAATCAAATTCAAAGCAGATATTGTGGATTATCTGCCTTGATAATCTGGGTTGTATGCTGGGCTATAGCCAGACAAAAAATCGGGGGTGGGGTGGGGGGGTGTTTAAACTTTTTTTTAGCTAATCATGAGGAGTAGTTTCATAACACAAAATAATTTAAATAGTATGGTTCGTTCTATATTTTTTATAGACTTGAATTAAATCAATTTTCTATTTTAGTTGCAAAGTTTCAAGTCTTAAAATAAACAAAAATGACTGTTAACTGGTAATTTATAGTTATTTATTTATTTATCGTGTCATCAGCAACCAGACCATTGTATTACATTTCTAACAGAACAAAACAAACAAACAGATAAAAAACACAAATTTTGCAAACTTGGTAGTTGATTAAATGTCCTTTGACCAGTATCTGGCCACTTGGAGTTCCTCTGGTGTTGCCGCAAGAAGGTCCTCCATTGTGCATGTGGCAGGGCTCAGGTTGCATTGCAGCAGGTGGTCTGTAGTTTGCTCTTCTCCACACTCGCATGTTGAGGATTCCACTTTGTAGCCCCATTTCTTAAGGTTGGCTCTGCATCTCGTGGTGCCAGAGCGCAGTCTGTTCAGCGCCTTCCAAGTTGCCCAGTTTCTGTGTGCCCAGGGGGGAGTCTCTCATTTGGTATCAGCCATTGATTGAGGTTCTGGGTTTGAGCCTGCCACTTTTGGACTCTCGCTTGCTGAGGTGTTCCAGCGAGTGTCTCTGTAGATCCTAGAAAACTATTTCTTGATTTAAGTCGTTGACGTGCTGGCTGATACCCAAACAAGGGATGAGCTGGAGATGTCACTGCCTTGGCTGCTATTTCCCGGTAGATGTCAGGTGGTGCAATACTGGCTAGACAGTGTAATTTCTCCAGTGGTGTAGGGCGCACACATCCTGTGATAATGCAGCATGTCTCATTAAGAGCCACATCCACTGTTTTAATGTGGTGAGATGTGTTCCACACTGGGCATGCGTACTCAGCAGCAGAGTAGCATAGCGCAAGGGCAGATGTCTTCACTGTGTCTGGTTGTGATCCCCAGGTTGTGCCAGTCAGCTTTCGCTGATATTGTTTCTAGCACCCACTTTTTGCTTGATGTTCAGGCAGTGCTTCTTGTAGGTCAGGCACGGTCCAGAGTGACTCCCAGGTATTTGGGTGCGCTGCAATGCTCCAGTGGGATTCCTTCCCAGGTAATCCTCAGAGCTTGGGATGCTTGTCTGTTCTTAAGGTGAAAGGCACATGTCTGTGTTTTAGATGGATTAGGGATCAGTTGGTTTTCCCTGTAATAGGCAGTAAGAGCACCTAGAGCTTCGGAGAGCTTCTGTTCAACCATCTCAAAGCTCCCTGTTTGAGCGGTAATGGCACGATCATCAGCATAGATGAAACTCTCTGTCCCTTCTGGCAGTGGCTGGTCATTTGTGTAAATGTTGAACATTGATGGAGCAAGCACGCTCCCCTGAGGCAGGCCGTTCTTCTGTTTCCGCCATCTGCTTCTCTGGCCCTGGAACTCAACAAAAAAGCTCCTGTTTTGTAGCAGGTTTCCTATGAGGCGGGTGAGATGGTAGTCCTTTGTGATATTATACATTTTTCTCAGGAGGAGGCGGTGGTTCACAGTATCATAAGCTGCTGACAGGTCTGTGATCTGCTGCCTTTCAAAGCCATCTGCTATGTGCTGAGTCAGGTTCAGCTCTTGTGATGTGCAGCTTTTGCCTTTCCTGAAGCCAGCTTGCTGTGGAATCAGACATGGGTCTATTTTTCCATAATTCTATGCAAAATAATTTATAGTTAAAAAAGAATATCACAACATCTGTTGGAAACACTTGAAAACTGTGTCCATACGCTTTGATGGAAATCAGGCTCCATCGATAAACTTTGGTGGACACTCAGGAGTCAGTCTTACTTGTCCCATTGTGCTTCTTATGTACTTTCTGACTTCATATTTTTTATTTTTTTCATATTATAACAGTAAATAAACATCAAAAACTTCTTTGATCATATTTCTTATCATTATTTTTAAGCTTCCATTACAACTTGTGCTACATATAACTCTATCACACACCTTTTATCCAGTTATACATATTGTATTTCTTTATAATTATTATTATACCATTTTCCCCCTCTTCCCCTTACCCTTAGTTTGTGCCCCCTCCACCAGGACCAACCAACTCATGTTGTTTCACCATTCCAAAATATCATTGTTTCTCTTGCTGGCTTATACCCCTTTCCCTCATTAAACACATATTCGATAATTTTTCCCCATATTTTCCAATAAACTTTGGTGGACACTCAGGAGTCAGTCTTACTTGTCCCATTGTGCTTCTTATGTACTTTCTGGCATATAAGACTACTTTTTAACTCAGAAAAATCTTCTCAAAAGTCGGAGGTCGTCTTAAATGCCCGGTGTCATCTTATAGGGCAAGTGCTGAAAATTCCGAGTTGGACTGGAGAATCTGCGGTCGCCGCATATGGTGGGGGAGCTCAAAAACAGCCACGGCTTCATCCCCGCCCTATGTGGTGACTTTATGAAAGCAGCAAGGGCAGCACTATACAAGTATGGTAGAAGAAAATCCATTCACCAGGATTCATGGAAAGAAGTGACTTAACACAGTCCCGATGATGAGGCAAGAGGGCCCCTCACCGGGAAGGTGTAAGTGAAGGCTGGAGCAAGCTGCAGGAGTCCGGGACGCCTGAGGTATGGAAAAAAGAGTTACTATTTTTAATATACAGTTGATGAAGAATAACTATCAAAAGAAGTGGACAGAAATTAAAGAGAAGATGACAAAATGGGAATCATTAAATCTGTCCCTCCTAGGTAGAATCGCTGTGATAAAAATGAATGTTCTCCCCGAAGTCCTATATCTCTTCCAGACCATACCAATAATCAAAACAATGTCCTTATTTAAATGCTGGCAAAAAGATAT